ATGGAATGCTCTAGTTATAGAAGATCTCTTACCTTTACAGAGGATTGAGTACATGGAAAATATCAGCCTCCCACCAACTCAACTTGATGTTGTAGCTGAAACACTTAAAGTATCACAGAAGGTGGCTGATGAATGTGGAGAGAATGTGCAGTATGCCGTTGTTACTTATGATCTTGCCATAGCCAAACCCGCTCTTCAAATCCAAGGTCAGGAATCACCCACCTATGATAATGTGTTCATATGATTTGGTGCCTTCCACATAGCTCTTGCATATTTTGGATGCCTGGGATATTTCATCGATGGTTCAGGTGGCCCAAACATCATAACAGAAATGGAAGTGTTAGGTCCAGGTTCATTTATGGAACAGGTGCAAAAGACTACATCCTTTGCTAACTACAACAATGCAATCCCTCCAATTTAATGCCTTTCTAGACAAGATAGGGCCACTGAGTGATGAACTCAGAGACATGCTTCATGATGTGACAGCTTCATTGTCACCATTAACACTTTGAGGAATCCCAGCACTATATAGATCTGATGGTCAAATATGAAACCTATTGTAATGAGACCTTGAGTGGGCAGCATGGGAGCACACAACAGTACTGGTTGATGTATATAAACCTTGTCAGGAGATTCCTCCTCTTCATGCAGAACAAATGATTTGTCTCTCTTTTTATATGCTCTTGAGCAGCTAATTCCAGTATTTTTTGCAGGAAATCATCCAAATTATTCCAGGTGGATGATACGTTATAATCTGAACCTTTTGAATGCAGAACATACTCATCCTGGTATCATCAAAATGCTAGAAGATGGGGCATTCTCAGTGAGAAGAACAAACAAGTCTTTCTCTCGTATGGCAGTTGATATGACACTTGAACAGACGGTGAATGCTGATGCTGCATCACGGCATACAGGCATGGGGTCTTTTGTGCACTCAGAAAATGCTCGAAAGCGTTGGATGATAACAAGGTTAGTACGTAGTTCAATCGTCAGCAGTCTGTTGCATTCAGCTGGTTTCAATATTCCTGAAGATATCATTAAGGATTTGAAGAAACACAGAATTTTGAGAGATCAAGAAGAACTTGAGAAAATAGTTAGTGGAATCCAGTCTACTATGACAACAACCTATACTGCCTCACTTCTGGTCAGAAGGTACTGCTCCTATAAAGGATGATTTGCTGAGTTTCATAGTGAAGGGTGAAAAATGGTCAGCAGAATTTAGAGAAGGCTGTTTTGAAGATCCTACTCGGTTTGAAAAACTCATTTCCAGAAGAAAGGTATCCAATTTTGCATCAGCATCAGTGAAGACAAAGCTTCCATTAAAGAAAAAGGTTCTGGAAGTTGAAGGAACGCCTGATCTCTTTTGGCGTCTACTGTTAATAAGTACCATGGAGAAGATAGACCTGGAAACGTTCTGGAATACCCACTAACACCAGTTTCATTATCATTAGCACATAGCGATGGAAGCATGAATACCACAGACAAATCAAAGCTCATGCACAGACTTGAAACTCATTTGAACAACCCTCCAAAACCTATTGATGTAGATGTGTGTATTGTGGATGCTTCGTTCCTCTTGCATACTCAAAGGAATCCTCCAATGTTGTTTGGCCAACTAGCAGAATCCCTTCTCTGTCAAATAACTTGTATGGCTTCAACAGGTGCATCTAGTCTGTGATGTATATAACACCATCTATCAAAGATGCTGAGCACAAAGGAGAAGGCAGATGAAATGGTATACAACATCACTGGGCCTGATCAAAATAGGCCCAAGGATTGGCAGAATGCACTTCGATCTCCCTCCTTCAAAACCCAACTCATGAAATTTCTGGCAGTTGAGTGGGCGAATACATCTTATGCACAATTACTTGCGAATTTTGCTGTGTATCTTGCAGTTGATGACAAGTGCTACTGCTTCACTGCATCCGATGGTGAAGTCAGCAGAGTTACTGTTCCAGCACTAAGGTCCTTCCACGAAGAAGCTGACACCAGAATGGTGTTTCACCTTGACTTCATAGCTCAAGTGCAAGATGCAGTCAAAATATCAATTAAAAGTAATGATACTGATGTAGCCATTGTAAACATCTGCACGAGAAACATCAAACATTGAACATACATGTATCTTCATAATGAAATTAAATGAGCTTTACAAACTATGATATAACTAATTCTGTCCCAAACGGTGATATGTGTATGCAGTATATGATTGGTGATGATGCCCAAATTCAAGTTATGTTTTCTAGACTTAGGTCTACCTATAGGCTTCTCAGAGATAAATTTCTGAATTGCCTAGTAAATTACCGAATAGAATAAACCCTCAGACCCCTGGACAGTACTATTCATCAATTATATTAATAACCGATACAAAATAGGCAACCCATCAGTAAAAAGTTGGATTTTGAAGGCAACCCATCAGTAAAATTGGCGGCCATCTTGGATTTTCAAAACCTATATGCATCAATATAAACAACTAAACACATGCTGATAATAAAATTCAATGAAATATGTTATTAAATAACTTATACACACCACGACAGAGCTCATAATAACTATAAAGACAATAAAAAAAATTCACATTTTTTGTCAACTTTTTTTTTACGGTACCCAACTTCAAGCTCAATTTACTAGTCTTAGGTCTACCTATATCCTCATCAGAAATTGATTTTTGAATTCCTGAGGAAATTTCGGTCTAGAATCATTCCTCAGACCATTTGGCGCTTCCAACATAAATAAAACCTATCTGGCTCTTGGACTAGTACTGTTGACTTCTCTCTCCACTGGACACCAACTAACTACCGTATTCTGCCGTAAATTTGCCCATCCGAAAAATCGCCCTGGGCGGTTTCACGGCCCTTATTTGGGGTTCAAATTTTCAAAAAATTATCATCAAATATTTTTAGGAGGCTTATATTTTCATTGAAAAATCCACCTACACCGATTCTCAACGCCGGCAGTTGGACCACCCAAAACGAAGCTAATCTAAAATTGTATACACTTTTTTCTTGCTGGATTAAAAAGTAGATGGCACATCTTTCTCCAAAAAAATCACATTAACGAACCTTGTGCGCCAAATACAATTATTTTGTTTCATTTTATTAGTAAAAGACGTTTCAAATAAAAACGAACTGCAACTGCATTGCTTAGTAGCAAGTGATCGCGGTATCGCAATCCGGTCATGCTGCATTTTACAATTGCTGAATATTACCTAGTAATGATTATAATAACATGCAAAAAATAAATTTGTTGAATTGTTATGAAATGCAAATAAATTTCAAATTATTTCATCGTAAGCGAATGATTCTGATCGCATCCTCAACGCTCGATGCTGTAGAAATGAATATCCGCCATGTTTGACCTGAGACTGTGTTCTTTGAGCTGACAACTCAAATCGATAATTAATCAATGAAAACGATGGATGATGTCAACGTGTTCAAAATACCATAGCTCATTTAAATATGTTAATGTTATTGAATGCAACACGGAAGAGATTTGCAGATGTTGTTGTATGATCTTTTGGCTTGGATTTGGCCGTTCAACGGCCCTGGGCGAATTTACAGCAGAATCCGGTATTTAAGTTGATTTACATAGAAAGCAGAGCTTGCAACATGATAGTTATTCATAGAGGGAGTTTTTTTTACTTTTCATGTAATACAGTAGTCACACAATGAATACAATAAGGCAGTTCATATTTGTCTCAGTGAATCACTAATTTTTGACAGACACCTGTACAAAATACTTGGACAAAAGTCAGCTAAGATTTTCTGTTATCTTGCATGTTTTATGAATCTATTCACGTCTAAATACAGCACTTTTTTTCTGCGATGAGGCATTTATTTTTATACTAAAATATCTGAATTACTTTGAATAAAACTGGAAATTATGTCCCTTAAAATAATTAAACAAATTAGGCACCAATGTTTTTATGAGATATTTACATCTATCAAGGACATTCGGTAGACTGATTCCCCACTGTTGTTTCAACCCCAAAACTTGTTTGTATTCAAAATTAATTACTGTAGAATACTTTATTTTCGCTTGCAATTTTTTTTTGCTATTTTCGCTGAAGGGATGATTCCATGAAAATAAAATCCAGCAAATATATACTTTTTTCTCTATATTTCACATTAAACTCATCAAAAAACAGTGAAAATAAATTCCATACAAAAGACCCAAAAAGCCATTTCAGCGAAAATTAATTCCAGCAAATATAAAGTCTTGCACAGTATGACAATGCATATTTATATTGAATCAAACTATGATAAAGGGAATAATATTACGGTATATAACAAAGGGCAAGGTCACCAGAGTTCAACTATGTTCTAGATATGTCTTTATAAAACATTTTAATTTCATGTATTATGTATTCACATGGAGGCTTTGCTGAGTTTAATTTTGATTGTATGTGTCTTCATTGTCAAAATTTGCATACATTCACCATGATGCTTTGCAAGGCTTTGATTCCAGCATCAACTAATTTTAATTGGTCATCAAGGCTGTTTGAATGCATTGTGGGATTGAAAGCTGCTACAAGTACTCCAAATTAACATAACAATCTGTATAATTCTGACTTTATTTGATAGGTTTTGAGGGGACAAACTGCGAACTTGACGTTGACGAGTGTCTCAGTAACCCATGTTATTTCGGCGGCACATGCATTGATGAAGAGAATGGATATACATGTCAATGTCAGGACGGTTTTATCGGTCCCAATTGCGAAGCTGTCATCAGACGCTGTCCGTTTAATCCGTGCGGTTATAATGCAGTGTGCGTGGAAAATCCAACAGGTAAATTTCACAGAAAACAAATCTGAGGTCTCAAAAAAAGGGCAACAATTATCTTCAAGGATTTGTTTACATTTTTCTAGCCGTAGTTCCTATCTTTATGGTTGATGTTATAATTGTTTGGTGGTGTAATTTAAAACTGAAAAAATGTTTATTTCAACCAAATTATGAAATGGGACTAAACTTACAATGGAATTT